GTGTGTGTGTGTGTGTGTGTGTGTGTGTGTGTGTGTGTGTGTGTGTGTTCGCGCACACGCGTGCAGGTGTTTGTGTTTAAGGGCAGAGCCTCTCCTTTCGCTGTAACCATCAGCTCTTAGAGCAAGGCTTGTGTGTATTAACTGTGGTTTTGACAGCTGCTTAGGAAACGATTCAGAACAGTTTAAAGAAACTCCAAGAGGTCCGGTTGGGGACGTAAATGGAGCTGAGTCCTCAGAGGAAGTGGGAGAAAAGAAATTGGACAGATTCTGTTTTCTCAAAGAATGACTGAATTTTAGAAGTAGGGAAACTAAAGGTGTAAAAGTTAATGTTTGCAAACCAGAAAACTGAGTCCAAGAAAATAACTCTGCTAGTCTTTCCCACTCTGTTTTCTACTTGTTACCGTTTACATTAGCGTGTGCCTGTGTGAGCATGAAAGGGATGGGTCTCGGGCATCCCAGACCAGGCCGCTAATTATGAAAGTGACTTTGACCTTACCTGCCTCTGCTTCGATAGTGTGCATGCAAAGCCACCCAGTACTCCACCAGATACGCCATGTCCCTAGCCTCCAAGCCCAGGAAGCTGTGCCATCCCTGGAGGGGAAGAGCCCGGTTGTCTGGTGAACAAAAGGCTATACATTTGTTATAGGGGAGGCAGACCTTTAACTTGGCAATCCCTTGGCTGGTCCTGGCTTGTGGACAGTAGGAAACCGGAGAGAGGTAAGGCACACTTAACAGCAGTGTGAATTAACATTGTAGAATAAAGATACAAATTGGAAGGGAGCCCCACCTGCCCCCAAGTCATAAGCCCTTTTGGAATCAACTCTAGAAAGTGGCCACAGCTATAAGACTATTCTGTAAGACTATTCTGTAAATCACTTTACATGTTAGGCCCCTTTCAGATACAATACCCGATAAGACTGATGGGAATTTCCATTTTGTTTCAAGACAGGGTTTCTCTGTGTAATAGCCCTGGACTCACTTTGTAAACAGTCCAGGTTGGCCTCAAACTCACAGAGATCCACTTGCCCCTGCCTCTAGAGTGCTGGGATTAAAGTCAAGGGCCACCGTGCCCAGCCCTGGGAATTTTCTTTCTGAGGAATTGGACTGGACTGGTTTGTAGGTCCCTAGTCCTAACCATCTCTAAACATGTTATTCCATCAGAGTGAAAGTCATGAAATCACCAGATACTGATGGTTTCAGAAGAAATACACAGTAGTACATAGTCCCCCAGAGAACATATTCCAGGAGAAAGGGCTCTATCACCTCAGAGACACCAGGATCTGAGGCCCTGAGAGGGGAGCACTCACCAATAGTTTGCAATGAATGTGGAGATAGACTTTACGAAGGTGTGGGTATGGCTCTGCCCCCAGTTTCTAAAGAGTGTGTAAATTGACATGCTACCTGTGTTGCAGCACATCTGATGGAGTATCGCTGAGGCAGCATGGTCATGACCCTAGAAATGTGGAAAAATCAGGACTTGCCAGAGTGTCTCGGCAGAATCGGGAGAGGGGTCAGTGACTGACAGCGGCTTGGCACCATCGGCCCTCACAGTGTCCTCTTACCTTAATTCCCATTTATTTGAGTCATGTTGAGTTTTTCTATTTCAGGAGTAAGCCAATACATTGGAATCAAGTTGTCTCTGCTGAGCTGAACTGTAAGCATTAGTCCTTAATGATCTCATCATGCCTGATGAACCAAGTTCCCATGTGGAGCGCTGAGGGGCGATGGTGAACTGGGGAGGAACTCGCTGAGTTACCCATTACACGGTGACAGACATTCAATGGCAGTTGTTTCTTGGGGTTAGTGCAGAAGGGTTTGGTCAGGGGTAGTGTTTCCATGCATGAGGATATTCTCTTAGAGTTTGGAGAGTCACAATTCTGAAATCCACGTGTGATGACTATTCTTGGTTGTCAACTTGACTATATCCAGAATGAACCAAAACAAGATCAGCTGGGTAGACAGCATGGGTTGGCTGGACCATAGGCTATAAGCCATTCTAGTAAATCCCCTTTTCATGTATGTGTGTGTGTGTTTATATGTGCATATATATGGATATGTGTGTGTATATACATACACACGTTCATTCTATCAGTTCTGTTCCTCTAGAGGAAAAAACCTAATAGAGCTTTTGGTACCAGAACTGGTTCTAGAGCAAAACAAACATAAGATGAATGAATATCTTAAGTGTCTGGCGTAAGCTCTCCAATTTGCCACCATCCTCAGTTGCCAGTGACTCTCCTGGAATACTTGAATACTCTCAGAGCATACTGGAAGCCCACCATGTGAACTGTTTGACAAGCCTGAGGAGACAGATGCATTTGATTATTCTGATTCATCAATCATGAAAGGCAAGGGATTTGGTGACTGTATATAAAACTTGTTGACGTCTGTGGAAAAATGGTGATACTAGTTGGCTCCTCTTAGCATCTCTGGATAAATTGACAAAGGAAAAGAACGGGCTCTGAGATAAAATTAACCAAGTACTAGCATCTCAGAATATGATGAAGGACAATGAACTCAGTAATTGAACTGGCCAGTTTCAGATGCGCATAAGCAGTCTGAAGGTTTCTTAGTGTGCCCCAGAAAAGAATTTTCTCTCCAGCAGCCACAGAGTTTAAGTTTTGGAAAAGCAAAACAAAGCCTTCATAAGACAGGCTGAATCAGAGCAAAAATTCAGTCCCAGCCTCAGAGGGGGTTGGCATTTACATACAAGAGAACACTGATGTCCCTCAGGGCCCACCAATAATTGCTTGTAGACCTGTAACCAGACTTACGGCTAAGCAGGTTCCTACAGGGCAGATGAAAAGTGTAGTTCATGAGTAGGGTGCTACACTACCACAGAGCTCAGTGAGCTTGCTAATTCTTTCAAACATAAGTCTTAGGACTATGTGTGGAAATGATCTTAAGGATGTGGAGTAATGGTGGCAGCAACATAAAACTGGGCCAGGCTTAGTTTGTTTACGTTCCACTATATGGAAGCTCACCCAGTTTTTAAGGGGTGTCAAAGGGTTTTTTTGATTGACTGAAACGTTTCTCAAAAAGAAGTTGGAGCTGATACCCCTTGCCTTAGAGTTGAGGAAGGGATTTCAAGGCTCAGGGAAATAGCAATGTTGAAAGTGTGTATGCTGTGTGAAACCCAATCCTCTGTGATGGCAAGGCCCGGAAGCCATGCCCGTCATTAATTCTGTAAGATAAAAGAATGGTGAGAGGGGCACCAGGACATTTGAGGAGCTTTGTTGCCCTTTTCCTTGATCAAGACCATAGGGCTGGAGATGCTACTGCTCAGTTTTGGTGAATTAAGAGAGACCCATGGCCTCTTACAAGGGAGAAAGAAAACAATTGGGGGTCTATTGGACACTGGCTCTGATTGACACTGATTCTAGGAGATCCCCAAGAAACATCGTGGCTCTCCAGTTTAAGTAGGGACTTACGGAGGCCTGGTGACTAATGGAGTTTCAATCTACTAACTCACAGTAGGTCCAGTGGTTCCCTGAAGTTATCCTGTGGTTATTTCCTCAGTCCTAGAAAAAAAAACAAAAACATAATTGGGATAGGTATATTTAGAAGTTGGCACAATTCTCACATTGGTTCCCTGACCTATGGAGTGAGGGCTGTTGGGGTTGTAAAAGCCAAATGGAAGCCTTAAAGTTGCCTCCACCAAGGAAGTGAATCAACAGCGGTGCCACGTCTTTCAAGGACTTGCAGAGATGAGTGGCACCACCAAGGACTTGAAAGATGTATTCCTACCGCATCTCCCTTTCATTCTTCTAGATCAGGCCAGGGCACAAGACAGATGGATTGTGGAGAATGGCAGTTGACTATCAAAAATTCAGTCAAGTAGTGACGGTTATTACAGCTGCTGTAGCAGAAGTGTCCTTACTTGAGCAGATGAACACATCTCCTGGCACATGGCATGCAGTTATTTGATCTAGCAAGTGCCTTTTTCTTAGTGCCTGTCTGTAAGGACTACTCGAAGCAATTTTCCAGTTGGCAAGGCCAGCAATATACCTTTTCAGTTTCACCTCAAGAATACATGAACTCTGTGTCATAACTTAATTAGGAGGTATCTCTTACACAAAATTTGACATTGACTCACTTATTTTGACCACATTTTGCTGATTGGATCAAGTGATCCAGATTACCAAGAAGAAATTGGTTTGCTTTTTTGCAGTGGAGGTAAGAAAGACTGGGGTGCAGGAGATTCTTGGGGACATCTCTACCATTATGAAAGGGCCAGGATTCCTCCATTTTGCCCCTGCTGAGCCATCTCAGCTCTGACTTAGCTCACCCCCATCCCCTACTTAAACACCTCCTCCTATGGAAAAGTCTGTTAAGAAAATTACCCAACCCTTTCCCAGTCATTTGAGGTCAACATGGCCCAGCTAACTGCCACTTTTTGCTTCTGTTAAATTGCTTGCTTGCTCCACTTCCCTCTTCAACTGCCAAGCAGGATATGCATTTTGCCTTTAAACCCTTCACTGTTCTGTGAAAACTGTTTCCAGGCAGTTGCTATAAAGACCCTCAGATTCAGATTCTGGTTTTATCAACTGGTTCTTGGGATCTTTGCCCCACAATACTGCATCCTGTGATTAAAGTCAGTGGGAAACTACAACCTAATCCAGGCAGAAAAGAAGGTATAGGTCATTCCTATACCAATCCAGGAAAAGAGCCAAGACCTGCTGAGGTGTTTGCTGAAAAATACAGAATGGGAAACAGTGGAAGTGGTTATGAATACTAGCAAAGACTATGTGACCAGTTGCAGAAAATAGGAATATGATCGACATGAGTGTTTCTGTCATATTTTGTTAAGAATGTATTTGTTCAGGCATTTGTGTTTTCTTTCTTCGGTTTTTTAAATCATGAAATGTAGCCTCAAGAGAAAATCAGCAGTTATTATATTAAAAGCTTGCA